TGGTCATCACGTAAAAGTCAAAAGGTAGGCTACTTGCGAGAGGCAGGCCGTTGTTTACTNTCATGAAAACAGTTCACCAAGTACAAAAGTAGTCTTAAAACAACACATTAAATAAGATTAATCGTCGTTCACTATGGGATTCAAAAAGTAGATGTGATAGAATACCTGGTTAGGCTATAAAATAATATAATCTTCCAGAGAAAATTTTTAAATATTGTACGACAAAACGTCATTTGTTTCATTTATTTTATTTAATCACATTCATTCCTTCCATAAAGTTTACGAGACTGTTAATTTGGATGCTTGCTTACGATCGTAAATGATCGCGTAGGCGTGCGAACTGAAATGAAGCTCTCCGTTAGGTAGGAGTTTAAATATATTAAATAACTTGAAACAACACATTAAAAAACATTAAATTAAATAAGACTAATCGTCGTTCACAAATGTGATTCAAAAAGTGGATGTGCTGGTTAAGCTATAAAATAATTAATGAATCGCCGATATAATCATCCAGAAAGATTTTTTAAATATTGTACAACAAAATGTAATTATACTTTGTGTTAGTTTCATTCATTCCTTCCTTAAAGTTTACGAGACTATTAATCTAGGTGCTCGCTTACGATCGTAAATGATCACGTGTGAACTAAAATGAAGCTCTCCGTTAGGTAGGCGTTTAAATATCGGTATAAAGGCAAATGTTTCATGTTCTCCTGTACCGTTTCAGTTAACCTCGCGTTCTCTCTGTCTCCCCCGTCTCGTATAGATTTTTCATCGCGAAATGTCTGCTAACGTCGAATCTAACGCCGATGTAGGTGATGCGCAGAAGACAGCCGCTTCCAAAAAATCGGCCGCCGGTGGCAAGAAAAAGTCAGCGGCCGCCGCAAGTACAAAAAAAGTCGTAGAACATCCGTCTTACAACGAAATGGTTCGCCAGGCTCTCGTCGCTCTCAAAGAACGCGGCGGATCGTCCAGGCAGGCCATACTCAAGTACCTCATGGCAAACTTCAAGGTCGGAAGCGACGAACACTCCGTCAACACCCACCTCAAAGTAGCCCTGAGGAATGGCGTCAAGTCGGAAACGCTAAAGCAGTCGAAAGGATCTGGAGCCTCAGGCAGTTTCCGCCTCGGTGCCGCCAAAGATACCAACAAAAATGTCGCCAAGCCGAAAAAAGACGCTGTCGCCATAAAAACCAAAGCGGCTGCCTCGCCAAAAAAAGTTACAAAAGTGGCGTCGCTACCGGAAGCGACAAACAAACGTCAAAAGTCTGTTGCAAAAAAGGCGGCTCCGGCTAAAAAGGCAACGGCATCTAGCAGCACGAAGAAGCCAGTCGAAAAGACTTCCAGTGTCAAGAAAGCCGTAAAGAAACCGCCTGCGGCCGCCAAAAAGATCGCTTCTCCAAAGAAACCGGCTACAATAGTTAAAAAACAGCAGGCCAAGGAATCTAGAAAACCAAAATCGGCCACCACCAAAAAACAGGCAAAGCCCACCGCCGCGGCCAACAAAAAGAAGACTAGC